CCCAAGTATGCAATTTATAGAAGATCCTTGGAATGCCTTTTAGATGGAGTTTTGTTTTTAAATAATTCGGGTCCCCGTAGGTGGTAGTTTTATGAAATGTGTACTACAAATGCACGAAAAGTACTAAATATGGTACTATTTGACATTAGGTGAAGCCATTTGTAGTGGTCCATTTGGCGGGACGGAGGGTCCTTGTGGCCGCTTGATAGGCTGCTTGAGGCGTCATCTGTGCAAATACTCCATCATTTTGTGCCTGATGTACATACGGAGACCACCCAGCATTCGGTGGCGGTGCTGTGGGGTTAACAGGCTGTTGTTGGGGCGGTGGTGGATAACCCGGATACCTTTGGGGCGGTGATTCTGGAGGTGGTCCTTGCGGAACATACATGGGAATTTGAATTTGTACTTGAAATGTAAAAGTTGGTATCAGGGTAGCCTGGAAATATGGAGGTGGTTTCGGAAACGAAAAGTACTAAATTGGTCATTGAGTGAAGGGATAGAGATTTTAAAATTTGACGTTTAGGTTACTGATGGGTCTGTGTTTGAGATTTGGCAGTGGTTTGGAAATGTGTGCTACATTTTTACGAAAAGTAGTAAATGATGCGAAATTCGGTATTGGGTGAAGCGGTAGAGCTGGAATAGCGAAATTTAATATTGAAGCCTCTGGAACTGAGATATGGAGTTGATTTTGGAAATGTACAAGTGTACGAAATAGTACTACATTTGGTATTGGATGAAGGAATAGAACTGAAATCCTAATATTTGATACGGATGTCACTGTTGTTGTCTGTCGTTGAGAGAAGGAGATGATTTTGGAAATGTGAACTAGAATTGTACGAAAAGTACTAAATAGTACTACTATATTTTGTACAACTAGGTATTGGATGAACGCTGTTCATGCGTAGCCTGGACATATGGATGTGATTTCGGAAATGTGTACTATAATTGTAAGAAAAGTACGGAATGGTACTAAATTTGATATTGGGTGAAGGAATTGATATAAAGTTCTGAAATTTCATATTTAGATTATTGATGGTATCTGTTTATGAAATTTAATGGCGGTTTCTATATTTGTACGAAAAGTACTAAATAGTACTAAATTTAATATTGAATGCAGAAATAGAATTGGAATCTGAAATTTGATATTGAGGTCTATGTTGGTATCGGGTGTTGAGATCTAGTTGAACAAATAGTGTTTAAAGTCTAAAATTTGGTTTTAGGGTCGCAACTCATTTGTAGCTAGGGCATATGGAGATTGTATGGGAAATGTGTACAAAAAGTACTGAATGGCACTAAATTGGGTGATAGGACTGGAATCCTGAAATTTGATATTGAGGTCTCTGTTGGTATTTGGGATTGAGATGTGAAGGTGTTTTTTGAAATATGTACTAAAAATTGTACCAAAAATTACAATATATTACTAAAGTTGGCGTTAGGTGAAGAAATAGAGCTGAAATCCTGAAATTTTATATTGATGTCACTATTGGTGTCTGTGGTTGAGAGAATGAGCTGGTTTTAGATATGTATGCTATAATTGTTCAAAAGTTGAAGTTTCGACGAAAAAATTGTATGACACTGAACAAATTGTGCACTTTGAGTACTAAAAAGGGCAGACGCGAACTATTGGAAGGTATGTGTAAAATTTTGATGTGGACTTTTTGCAGACGAAGTGGCGGGTAACTATTTACAACGAATCTTTTTTAGAATATCTTTCTGGCCTTGTAAAAGGGGAACTTGCTATGAGAACACCTTCCAGATTTTCTATGAGAAAACCTTTCGATCATCTAGCAGAAGACCACCCTATAAGAAAATCTTTCTAGTCTTCTATGAGAAAACCTTTCAGGCCTATCCATAAAAATCCTTATGATTATCTTCCATCCATAAAGACTTTTATAAGAATTCAGTGGATAGAAGGCCCTTAGAAGACTTTTAGATTGCATGCTCATATTCCGTATTCAATATGAAGAAGACCCGCAGATTTTTTATAGAAGGGGTTCTATCATTAAAATATTCTTAAATGTCCCTTAAATGACGTGTTTTTACAAAAGTCTTTTGGATAACTTCCATCCATTGAAGACATCAAATATTGGTGTTCACTTAAAACCCCGTTTGAAGATCTTCTATTCTGAAAGACATACGAAAAATCGTCTGTTCTAAAAAAGTGTTTATAATGCGTTTCGAATATTATCTAAGAAAGTCTCCCATAAAATATTTCTTTTTTTTTTTAAATACGTATACACTTGTTGTTATTGCACAAACAAATGCAAGGGTCATTGAGCTCTCCTGCAATTGTTAACTCCCCATAAATTAATTTTTATTTGTTTTTATTTTTTCTAATTTCAACAAATAATTGCAGCAGCCAATCAATTCTATTGCGAGGCATATATGTTTTTTATAAATATTTCAGGTTTTTATTGTTTTATTAAAAGGCTTTTAATTGCACACGTCGTAGTTTGTTTTAATTACAAAGTGAATTTATTCGCTGACGATGAGGTGAGCCTGGGTGAGGTGAGCTTAGGGGGGTACCATGGCATCAAAACAATCTGGACGAGTTGTTTTGGAGGACAGTGCTAATGATAACGAGTGCTAATTACTTTCACCTATGACGGTAGTCACTTTTAATTGATGATAATAATTTTATTTAGAAACAAGAAGGAGGAGGGGAAGGGGAGGGGGTTTAGGAAAAAAAAGAAGGAAAATTTGAGTTGAAAAAAGAAGTAGGGAAGAGAAATAATATTTACAATGGGGAATAAAAGAGGGTATAATTTAGGACAGCTATCGGCTTAACTCTAGATTAGTAAAAAATCGCGGATTTTTTTAAATTTTTTTCCCAAAGTTGGGTATTTTCACCCTGAAAAGTTTTTTTTTTATCTGTGTAATAGGTCCGGGTTAAACCCGGGTCTTGGACCTTTCGGGACAAATATCCAGGTGCGTCCCTAAAAAAAATACTTTCCCGGAATCAGGGTAAAAATACCTACCTCTGGGGAAAAATAGAAAAAACCGAGAGATTTTACTAAGCCAGAGTTGTTCCAATACCCCTTTAGGTGATAGCTTCAGGGAATGATATAATGGCCCGCTCTTCTTTTACACATTTCTGGCTTTACTATAGGGCTGGGAAGCTTTGAAAGTAAAGAAATTAGTTCCCCTACAGGCAAAGCTTTACGGAACGAACTCATAGCCCTAACTTTCAACGTCCCCAAAAATTTCCTATAACGCTGGTATATGTGGAAGGCTTACACGCGAGGAATATGAAAATATCCGCCACGAAATCAACGGCCATACTCTTTACTACATTGTCTGCGGAGATGAGAACACAACTGAATGTCCAGGTCGAGGGGTGTTTTATACTGACCACGAACTACCCCAGATTCTAGGGGTTACATTCGAAAGCATTTTCAGGTCGTTCGTGCAAGCCACAGCTATCTGCGACAAGATGAAAAATAGGAACAAGGTCCTCAAGGCGCTAGCCGGCAGCACTTGTGGTGCGGACAAGGAGGTCCAACGATCTAGAGAGGGAGGTCCAACGCTATATGAGAGAACCTCTAGATCGAGAAGCCTATCAGGCAGGTCAATGGAGAAGACAATTCTGGTCTTCCATGAAGAACCCCATCCTGATCTTCTATGGAGAAGACTATCCTGATCTTCCATGAAGAAGACCATCCTGGTCTTCTATGGAGAAGACCATCCTGGCCTGCTATGAGAAACACTATCCTATTCTTCTCAGAGAAGACAATTCAGGTCTTCTATGGAGAAGTGGTTTGCAAATACTAGTGCTACGCAGGGGAAGCACATCCAGACCTGCCAGAATACTGCCTTGAGAACTGCAACAGGGTGCCTCCTCATGACACCAGTGGACCATCTACATGAGGAGGCGAAAGTCCTTCCCTTACGTCAGAATAATCATATGCTTTCGTTGCACTTCCTGTCTGGGTGTTACCGTGAGAGTCATACACGATCTAGAGAGGGAGGTTCAACGCTATAAGAGATAACCTCTAGATCGAGAAGCTTATCAGCAGGTCAATGGAGAAAACTATCCTGGTCTTCCATGATAGAAGAACATCCTGGTCTTCCATGGAGAAGACTATCCTGATCTTCCATGAGAGAAGAACATCCTGGTCTTCTATGAAGAAGAACATCCTGGTCTTCTATGAGAAAACTCTCCTGATCTTCTACGGAGAAGACAATCCTGGGCTTCTTTGTAGAAGTGATCTGCAAATACTAGTGCTACGCAGTGGAAGCACATCCAGACCTGCCAGAATACTGCCTTGAGAACTGCTACATGATATGATGCCTATTCATGACACCAGTGGACCAACTACATGAGGACGCGAAAGTCCTTCCCTAACATCAGCATAATCATATGCTTAGGTTGCAGTACCTGCTTGGGTGTTACCGTGAGAGTCATACACGATCTTGAGAGGGAGGTCCAACGCTATAAGAGAGAACCTCTAGATCGAGAAGCCTATCAGGTAGGTCTGAGTGGCATTCATCCCGATGCAGTCGCGGATGCTATCAGCAGTTTGAGGATGAATGTCGTCCTCGTAGTCCATTCCCCATCCATTGTAGCTGAAAAATGCCAGCTGCCTAAACAAACCAGGGTAGTTTTCCCGCAATTACGTTCAGGATGGTGTTGTCGTCTCAATTCGTATTGGGCACGAATTGACGAAGATGTGTGTGTGTGTGTGACGTCTGCCCGGAGGATGATATAGGCCCGCATAATACGCACCTCTTTAATTGCACAGCCAAACCTACTCAACTCACTCCAGAAGATCTCTGGCTGCAGACAGAATTTTTAAAACTGGAGCTTGAACAGAATTTTTAAAACTGGAGCTTGAACCAGATTGGCAGAATGCAAAGACTCTCATGTACTACTGCTACAACTACAACATACAATTATTCAAAAATTGTCAAAATTTTCCGATTTTTCTTTTCAAAAAAATTCGGATTTTTTAATTCATAAAATTTCAATTAAAAAAATTCCCAGTTTTTTTTGGACTCACCTGATCTTGACAGAAATAACCGAAACCGATGATACCAGCTATGGCCAGAAATAGGCAGATGGCAGTAATTGTCCGTATTTTGGAGCGGGGTTCCATTTTTTGTATTTCATAAACGCCGCGGGGTAAAAGTAGAGCAAAATCACTGTCAACTTGAACGGAGACGTTTTTGTGCATGTCCTTGACGTTGATGACGTTGCCGAGATTGTTGTTGTTGTTGCTGTTGTTATTCGTAGTGGTTGTGTTGTTATTATTGTTGTTGTTGAGATTCTTTTTATCACAAGATTGAATAGTGTTGCTATTGTTGTTGTTATTGTTATTATTATCGTTTTTGTTGTTTTTTGTGTTTGTTATTGTATCCCCACTACCACTACTTCCACTTCCACTTTTGCTGCCGCTGTTGTTGCTGTTGTTGTTGTTGCTTCTGCTGCTATTGTTGTTGTCTTCTAGGCTTTTGTTGCTGTTGCTGTGGTTGTTGCTGGCATTCGTTTTCTCCTGCGTTAAAGGCATTATCCAACATCAGATCAACCATTGAGCAGCAGCAATGAAATGTTAAAACTTAAAAGTGGAAGAAGACGAAGAAAAGAAAACGCTGCAAGGACGACGACGACGACGCGGCTACAAAACCCGACACTGCAGCACCTCCACCACATTGAGGATACGAATTACAGAGGAGCAGAAAACCGAAACAACATTTAAAGGGGAGCAAGAAAACGATAACACTTTAATGGGGTGGGCAGCGGGAGGCAGAATGATGGTTGAGGTGTTGAATTTTAATGGAATTTTTGTAGAGGCCTTTTGTGTTTTTGTTTTCTTTTCTTTTTTTGTTTGGCGTAAGTGGTGGGGGGGGGAGGATAATCAAATCTAAGCCACAAGGATATGTTGTTGCAGAGAGAGCGAGAGATTGTGAAAGTTTGTATTTTTGATTCGTCTTGTTGTTCTTGCTTTCGATAATGGTTTGTGGGAATACGAATGTATTATTTAAAGTCAAAATCGTTATGCCGTGGGATTAATTATCAATTCCGTATGCGATTTGGTTTTCTGAAAAGAAAAAGAAAACAGAAAATTTAAATTATTTTAAGATAAAAAATACAAAGAGTTTTAAAAGACAGTGAAGAAAAGACAAAAGTCAGGCAGAGCCTACAATATGACATACAGTTAAGGGCAATGATTCTCCTTGTCTATGAGAGGACCTTCCAGAAGGAGACCTTCTTGGTCTTCAATGGAGAAGAGCCTCCCGATCTTCTATGAAGGAGACCATTCTGGTCTTTTATTAGCTGACCTTCCTGGTCTTCTATGGAGGATACCTTCCTAGTCTTCTGGTCCTCTATAGGAAGCCCCTCCTGGTCTTCTTTGGAGAAGACCATCCTGGTTTTCTATGGAGAAGACCGTTCTGGTCCTCTACAGGAAGACCCGCCTGGCCTTCTATGGGAAGATCCTCCTGGTCTTCTATGAGAAGGCAATTCTGATCCTCTTTAAGAAGACCCTTCTGGTCGTCTATGGAGAAGTCATTCCTGATTTTCTACGAAGAAGACCTTCCTGATCTTCTATGAGAAGACCCTCTGGTCTACTATAAGGAGACCCTCCTGGTCCTCTATGAAGTAAACCATCCTGGTCTTCTTTGGAAAATACCTTCCTGGAGAAGACCTTTTGGCCTTATATGGAGAAAACTTTCCTGGTCTTCTATCAGAAGACTTTTCTGGTCTTCTATCCTGGTCTTCTATGAAGAAGACTTTCTTGTTATTCTATTGAGAAGACCTTCCTGGTCTTCTTTGGAGAAGAACTTCCTGGTCTTCTATCTAAAAGACCTTCTGGTGTTCTATAAGTAAAATTGTCTGGTCTTCTATCCTGGTCTTCTATGGAGAAGATCATCCTGACCTTCTATGAAGAAGACCTTTTGGACTTCTATGAGAAGACCTTCTGGTCTTCTATGAGAAGACCATACTGGTCTTCAATGAAGAAGAACATACTGGTCTTTAATGTAGACCATTCTGGTCTTCTATAGAGAAGACGATCCTGGTATTCTACGGAGAAGACCTGCAGCTCTTTTACATAGAGGACCTGCAGGTCATCTTCGTAGAAGAACTGCTCTTCTATGGAGAAGACTGCAGCTCTTCTATGGAGAAGACCTGTAGAAGACCTACCCGGTCTTCTGGGACCTTCAGCTCTTCTATGAGAAGAAGACCTCCAGCTCTTCTATGAGAAGAAGACCTCCAGCTCTTCTATGGAGAAGAAGGCCTGCAGCTCTTCTATGGAGAAGAAGACCTGCAGCTCTTCTAAGAGAAAAACTTTAGCTTTTCTGGGAAAGGACCTTCAGCTCTTCTGGGAGAAGACCTTCAGCGCTTTTGGGAGAAGACCTTAAGCTCTTCTGGGAGAAACACTAACTTCCATATACAGAAGACCTGAATAAATTCTCTTACAAACATAAGGCTTATTGAAGGTCTGCTATGAATAAGAGAGCTCCAGGACGTCTACTTGACTTCCATGGAAGTAAGCCTACAAAGGTCTTCGACGGATAGAAATCTTCAAGGATGCCTTTAATGGACAGAAGTCCCCCAGAAAATCTTCATTAGATAAAAAAACCTACTGTAGATTTTATATGGGCGTAGATCCCCAGCAGATCCTTTATGAAAATAAAGTTTCCAAAAAAATCTCGGTGGATAGAAAAGATTTAGGAGGCCCCATCTGTTAAAATAAGACTTCCAGGTGGTACTCTGAGAACTCCAGTCTTATGGATACAGAGGATACATATAATACGATAGGGTCAAATTTTGCCCCATCGAAAACCCCACTGGGCTTTACACTCAAGGACTTCTGTCCATGTCCAGCCGTCTATCTGTATGTGTGCACGATAAGTCTCGAAATGAGTATTGTATTTGATCCAAACTTCGTACATTGTAATAGTTCAATCCAACTTTGATTGAGTTCGAAGATGGATAAAATCTGACACATCTTCTGGTACCAGACAACTACAAAAGGTCAAAATGTACAAAATTCTAAATCTTTCAGAGATTCCATAACTGACAAGGGAGCCTTAAGAAATTGAAGGACTAGCAAGGCAAAAATCTTTGTCCTTTAAAATCTTTTTTTTTTGTAAGAGCAAACATTGATACCATCCTGCATTTTTCGAGGACTATCTGTACTTTGGAGATTGTTTTCTGATTATATACGATTATATTTATACTTCTTATTGAAATATTTAATTTGCTGGTCCTTAAAAAAAAAAAAACATTTAATAATTTCTTTCCTGGGAAACATTTACACACACCCACCCAATATCCGTCCTCCTCTCCCTCTCTTTCACTACAAATTGGTTAAAAAACATTTACCTATGGTGGAGGGGTATAGTTTAAACGAAATTTTAGTAATGAAAGGATTTCTGTTTTCTTTTTTTTCTTTTGCTGGGAATATCATAGCTAGCTTCGTCCTTTGAAAACAGGAATGTGTAAAAAACCAGTATAAATTCATAGTTATGTGTGCACACAAACACATGCACTCAGACACACACACACCAACACACACACAAACACATAACACTCCAAATGAAAGGTTTTGCATTTTTTTTATTTGAATGTGAATGAGAATTTTTTGTGTGGTTGCTATTGCGAACAGCAATATTTAGTGCACAAAAACAGCTGAGATTCACAAAAAACGGTGGTGAGGGCTGAAAAGGGTATTTCCGGTTTTTTTTTGTGTGCGTGTGTTTAAATGCAATATTTGCAGACATTTTTTTGTCGTTGCTGCTCTTGCTGTTTCTACTCCTTATTTGTCAACGTAGGCATTTTACCTTGGAGGACCAGACAAAAAATGCCAAAGCCAAAGAATTGGGTGTTTAAATAAAACTTTTAATGAAATGAAAAGAAAGGTTTTGTTGTCGGCGTAAATGGGAACAATTTAAAAATGATCTGACGGTGTTCCCACGGATATATATATGGACCTTCAGGGTGAGATAAAAAACTGTAACAAAATCAAACGCCATAATTTTTAGATTTTTTTTTTTTTTTAATTTTTATTGAATGAAAGCAAAGAATGTCGGAAATAGAATCAAATTTTAGAATAAGTTTAGATTGGTTCGAATTGGTCACCTTTGGCACGAATTATGACCTTTAAACGACCAATGAAACCGTTACACGCTGGCCGAATGTTGCTCTGTGGTATTTTGGCCAATTCCCGGCGAAGCGCTTGCTTGAGGTGATCGACACTTTGGTATTTTTTTATTGCCAACCTTGCTTTCCAAAATACTCCAGACATAATTGTCCAACGGATGGTATCCGGAGATTTTGGTGGCCATTGTGCGCTGGAAATGAAGCGAGAAACCTCATTTTGTAACCATTCTTGGGTGGCGCGTGCTGAGTCCTGTTTTTATGTCCAAGGTCTGCGGCCAAAATGTTTGCGTGCCCAAGGCTTTAATACACCCTCCAGAATATTTTCGCAATAATACTCGGCATTTATTCTGATGCTACGGTTGATTAATAAAACGGAGAGCGACCATCGGTTGTTATGGTGGCCCACACCATTACCATGGCAGACGCTTGAGTTCTGGTGGCCAACCAAAGGTGCACATTTTCAGCTGACCTCTTTGGCAAGTAAACACGATCATTTTGTGTTGTTGTTGTTTACAAAATGCTGGACAACGAATGTTTTCTCATCGGAGAAAACCAAAATCGGCAGTTCCCACTTCCAGCCAAGCGAAGCAACTCGTAAAGAGAAAAAAATTAGGAAATAAAACTTTTGAAGAAAATCTGACATTGGTTTCAATTTTTAAGAGGATTTTTATTATTCACAAATTTGACCCTCTTGTGTTTGAAGAATCATAGAAAGTGGATCGATTTATTAAATTTTCAAACTTGCTCTAAAATAGGCAAAAGTATTGGAATGTGAATAATTTGTTGAATATTGAACTTCGATTTCCCATATTTCAAGTTTTACGCAAAATTTCCAACCTTTATTGGGGAGGTACTGGATAGAGTAGGCCAAATTATCCTGCATTTAATCTATAACATATGGTTGGAAGAAATATTAAGAAATTAGTCTGGTTAGCCAAAATCGGCAGAGACTTGATGGCCCTCCAGCTCGCCCATAGAGGCTCGCTGGCCCTCCAGATCTTCTCTGTAGACAGTGTGGCCTATAGCTCGTCTCTATAAACTTCTAGGTATTCATTTCGTCTCTATAGACTCTCTGGCCCTTCAGCCCATTTATAGAAAATCGATGACCCTCAGTTCTTCTGGGAAAAGTCCTTCAGTTCTTCTGGGAGAAGACCTTCAGTTCTTCTGGGAAAAGACCTTCAGTACTTCTGAGAAAAGACCTTCAGTTCTTCTGGGAGAAGAACATTAGTTCTTCTGGGAGAAGACCTTGGGGTCTTCGGGGAGAAAACCTGTAGCTTTTCTGGGAGAAGAACTTGGGGTCTTCTGGAAGAAAACCTTCAGTTTTTCTGGGAAAAGATCTTCAGCTCTTCTGGGAAAAACACTAACTTCCATAGGTAGAAAACCTCCATAAATTCTACTACAAACATAAGACTTATTGAAGGTCTGCTATGTATTAGAGAGCTCCAGAAGGTCCACATGGGCTTCCTCGGAAGTAGGTCTTTAAAGGTCTTCAGCGGATAAAAGTCTTCAAGTATTTCTTTGATGGACAAAAGTCCCACAGTAGTTCTGTAGCTCGTCTCTACAAACTCCCAGGTCTTCAACTCGTCTCTATGGATTTTCTGGCCCTCCAAGAGTATCGATGATCTTCAGCTCTTCTGGGAAAAACACTAACTTCCATAGGTAGAAAACCTCCATAAATTCTACTACAACCATAAAACTTACGGAACGTCAGCTATAAATATAGAAAACTCCAGAAGGTCCACAAGGACTTCCACTGAAGTAGGTCTTTAAAGGTCTTCAGCGGATAAAAGTCTTCAAGTATTTATTTAAGGGACAAAAGTCCCCCGGTAGTTCTGAAGCACATCTCTATAAATTCCCAGGCATTCAACACGTCTCTATAGACTCTCTTTCACTCCAAGTGAATCGATGGCCTTCCAGCTCACCTATAGAGACATG